AATACTATCTAAATGCAAGCCATACTCTAATGTTAATTAACGATGCAACCTATGCCTGCAGGAGAAATATCACATTATGCAATCCGGAAGCTAGTACACTTAACCAAAGAATAGAATTAGAATAGTGCATGCAGACATAGAAGAAAGTTCCTACTAAGATACCAAACTTAAATAACAATAGCCTATCTCAGATCCATCTATTAAACAAAAGAGAGTCCAGTACTAATTAACATATTCATATTCTTTATAAACAGTTTTTATCATCTTTATCTATAGTACTTCATTATTCCGAGTAAGCTTCATTCAGAGCCGAGCACCTGATGATTGAGGCTGTGCCCTCATGAAACAGTCTGTAGTGCAAAATAAAATGTTGAGTTTGTAACCTAGTGTCTTTGATTACTTATTATCTGAATTATATATTTTATAATTTATTATATTATTATATTTATTGTTATTATTATTATAATTACTAATATCATATAGGCCTAATATTATTTTTCATTAGGCGTATTACTATTCTTATTACTTATTTTTTATATTACCCGAATTATTACTGGTCCCATTACCGTAATTATTTTTTAGAAGAATCTTAACATACCTTTATGAAATAATGTATATTTAATACAGGGCTGAAAATTAACCTCTAAACCATAGTGGCCAGCAGGGCCAGTAAGGAAAAAAATGATACTGGCTCTTTCAAAGTAATACTTGTTCTATTTTTTTTATGGTCCGAAATATAATTTTTCGAAAAAAACAAAATCAATAAAAGAAGCACAATGACATTAGTTTAGTAATTTTTTTTAGCCAATTGAATCTGTCTTTAGCCAAAATCATTAGTCCGAGCTGTCAAGAGTCTCAGTCAGGGTACCAGAAAAAAAACATTGTTTTAGTTCACGATCAACAAGAGTTTTTATGGCCCAAAATTGTGATTTTAGACCACATTAGACTTGGAGATTGGCAATCAAAATTACATTATTTGGTAGGCAAATTAATATTTTAAGCACACCAACGAGGTACAATAGTTTAAAAGTTTACTAAATATATATTCCACTTTGTCGCCAGTTTGCACCCAAATGGTACAATACCAGCTAGCCGGCTGTATTGAAAATAATACCTTCATGTAGTCGTCATACAGCCACTGCCCTGCATCCACCGCGTTAAAATAACAAATAACAAATTGCGAAGCACGCAATGAAATTTGCATCTAGACTACAAACTCAGTGATAAATGGGATGAACAATTGCTCATAATGATTTTCAAATGTTTAAATGGTCATGCTCCATCATATTTATCAAAAAATGTTGTTTTTAATTATGATTTGCATACGCATTGTACTCGCAGTCAAAGTAAAAATACACTAATTGAATACACCTTGAATAATATGCAAGGTAAAAAATCTTTTGTATACCGATCTACTAAATTATGGAATAAACTCCCGGATCATACTAAAACCAACTTTAAATCTATGACACTTTCAAATTTTAAGCATTCTATTTCTAATCCTCAATAATACCATCTTAATTTAACCTAAATTTTATCTTGCCTTGCATATTCATATTTAATATTAAAATTTTATATTTTTTTTAAGTTTCTCTCGATGTTCCTTTTAAATCTATTTTAATTTGTAGTTATCCTTTGGTTACCATATGTATATATCTGCTTTTAAAATTTTGTAGTATAGAACTGCACCACTTTGGAAACCAGTACTATGTATTGAAAGTGTATATTCAGTATAAAGAAAGAATAAATAAATTATACCAATACAACAAAACAAATAAACTTTGCATGGCTATGGATTGGCAAAAAATTGAGCTTTAATGAAAAAAACCGATGTATTTTAGCAAGTATTTGAAACTTTTAAATGATTTTAAGCCTTCGCCAAAATGGCTAAAAGTGGTTGGTTATTTTTTCACCTATCCAAAATAGTTTTCACCCATGAAAATCGGTTAGTGTGAGCCCAGTAAGAGTCGCCAGATGGGCAATGCCCAAGACATATTATGGCCCGACATCAAAAAGGTCGCCACTGGTGACCGGGCGACCGCTGACTTTTAGCCCGGTTTGTATTTAAAAAAAATTTTTTTTTTGAATTATTTTTTTAAAAATTGAATATTTAGTATATTGTTTGTACTATCTCAATCATGTTTTACCTTGAATATTAATGCACCAGCAAACAACCCAAGGGTCATATTTAGCTTTATCAAAATAAAATATGTATAAAAAAAGAGCCAGCCTCCCTCCCTCCCTCATCACTTTTCCAGCCTAGATAGGGTGATAAACTAATAGAAAAATGTGTAGAGCCTATATCATCCCCAGCCAGAGGAAATTACTTTTTATTTTTTTAAGGTATTTTATTTTAAAAATTGTAATAATAATTAATAAAATGGTATTTACATAGCAAAGTATTATTATAAGTTACTATAACTTGCGCCTGTACAATATTTAAGCGTGGAGGAACCTGTGGACTGGTGAGCGATCGCTCTTGCTTAATTAACCAATTATGTTTTTTTATTCAAATATTGCACTTTAGCATATTATTGTTAAATTTCCACATCAAAAAATATTTGCTGTGGTTAGGGATAAGGTACCGTATCTTATCTTCCATTTGCTAAAGGTATAGTAAATTGCATCATCCAATAAAATGCCACCACCGGTGTGACATCATTGTTCATGAAGACTTGTGAAATCACTCGCTATTGTTGCACTAACCACAGATTGTAAATAACAATGTTTTTTTCCCTGACAACAACTTGATTTGAAAGTATAACTCCAACTAGGGAGTTGTTATTTAACAACAACTTTAAAAAAATACAAGTCATGATAAATTTCAAATTGGTAAATCCCAACACGATGGTGTGTAATAAATTTCCTGGATTTTAATTTGAATTTTATTGGGTCCACTTTTGAAACAATGGCAACCAAAAACATAAAATTGTCCCCTTAATTAAGGGTTTTTGGCATGTATTCATATAACAATGACATACATTCTTTATAATTTTATTTTTATTGACATACTGTAAGAATCATAAAATAAGATTAAGAACTAATTTATAGCAATAATTTTGCAATGCAAAATGTAAATGTAGGAAATAACCTGTGACTTGCAGCTTTAACTAGGCTGAAATGTGCACAGGCATGGACCAACTCATTCTTCAACTTTTATTGCCCCAAAGGGTCACATCTTGTCCGACCACCTGCCAAGAGACGCACTCTTGAAGGATGTACTGGGTTCATTTAAGTGCACAGGAGCCAATTGTGTACACTGGACCTACAGTTTATAGTCCTTATCTGAGAAGACTTCAAATTCAAAAGGCATTTATTTTCGTCCATAAATAAAACAACAACAGTGAAAGAGAGAGCAAAAAGTACAATGCGAATAAATATATAAAAACAAATTACAGAATTATTAAAAATTAAAATTAAAATGTATGGACGAAGGAATATTCCCTAAAAGATTGAGACCTTGTGCCGGGTATGCCTGTAACAAATAAAAGATACAGAAAATAATATATGATTAAGCAAAAGAGGAATCGAAGTTAAAAAAAACAAATGAATAATGGTAAAAATAATTCAATAAGAATAAATTGATATATATATATTTAAAAAAAAAAATTGAAAAAACAATAAGACAATAAAAAAAAACAAACAAACAAAAAAAATGATTAATAGTAAAAATTATTCAATAAGAATAAATTCAACTTGTTCCAGCACCGGAACCATAGGCTAGCCTGCCGTTCGAACCAGCGCTGATATTGTGGCTGTAGGTTATGGCGCCCCTGCCTTAACCGCTCGGCCATTCGACTCGCAAATATAATTCATTTATAATATGAAATCCGCAGAAATGTAAGTAAAACAAAAATAGTTAAATATGTTCCCAATATTGTTTCATTATGCAATGTTAATTTTCTTATTTTTTATTCCCATTTTCATGAAAGTACATAATATACGATTGAAATTAAAACAATTTTTTATGAATGACAGTTCTCTCTGCCTGCTTCAGAAATTTGCCAAAAAGAAGTCTGACATGTCCAACAGAGAGGTCAGAACTGACTAGGCCCCCCCCCCCCCATGCTTGTGCCACTACTGGCTCCATCAAAACATTTGCAGAAAGAAGTGGGTTTAAAAAAAAAAAAAAAATTGGCCATATCAGTCTTAAAAGTAATTTGGACATTTAATTTAATATTGATACAGCATAATCTTTTTTAAATTTTGTCTTCACTCTTGTCAGTATGACCCAGTACAACATTATTTCTCAGTTAATATTTGCTGCTGGTATGAAACCGAACATATTTTGGATTGAATGATATTCCCTGACTGGTTTTGTTATATCTTTAAAAAAAATGTTCTATGGCTATGAGAATATTGAATTTTTAATAATACAAATCGATTAACAAAAATCCTATAATAATTAGGCCATTAAAATAATGCAGGATCGGACACTGCTGCAGCCACAAGTGTTGATCATGGTGTTTACCAATGCTTCTGTTTTGATAAAAATGCTTTCGCGCGTGGGCGCCCATATATGCTTTAATCATTTTTTTCGTTTGCAACAACAGGCGTGTATATGCTTCAGCGCAGCAGTCGGGTGATTGGACACACTAACCTGTTAGATGTTAACTCATTAACTATCTTTAAAATTCACAGTGCTCCCCTGACTGGATTTTTCGGACTTTAGTACTGTATGTTATTATATGTATATTTCAGGAACAAATTCCGCATAAATTATTTCTGTTGTAATTGCTTCTAGGTTCATTACAATTTTGTCCCAGTTTGAAAACCAAGTATGTTTTAAATTTATTTTGTTTATTTTTGTTTATTTGAAATTCATGTACAAGGTATGTACTGTACTATCTAAAAAAAAAACCTATGCTAACTTTTGCAAACTAAAGGTGTGGGATTCAATTCAAAATGGGCTTCTATTGAGGTTTTATGGTAAGTATAGTATTTCATTAAGTAGATCTTATAGTCATTATTTGTATACTGTACTGTAAATCTCATTTCAGCCTCATGAATTTGATGACTGTAGATTTGATGTTGGAATAAACGACAATGTTTGGTATATCAAAGCTAAGAATGTGGAGTCAAGACAGAGATGGTTGGATGCAATAGAAGCACACAAAGTAAGAACGTATTCATTGATTATAAGTGATAGTTTTGCCTACTTTAATATTCCAACTATAGTTATCATAAAATAAATTTACAGTATTTATTGATTTATTTCAATCAGGGCCACCCATAACCATTTTTTGGGGACCAAGGTTTCTTTACTGATTTAGCATCACTAGGGTAGGGGGAACCATCTGAAAACATATTAAAGATTATTAAATCAACTGCCAACAAATCTTGTGTGTTCAACAAATGTCTGTGATGAATTACTCCTATTTCTTACTCATTTAGTAAATACATCTCTATCAAATGGTATATTTCCTGACACTTTAAAGATCGCTCATGTTAGACCTTTAATCAAGAAGGCAAGTTTAGATCAAGATGATATTTTGAATTAATGCTGTGTTTCAAGTGTTCCTTTACATCTCTAAACTTAAGGGAAGTTTAGATCAAGATGATATTTTGAATTAATGCCCTGTTGCAAGTGTTCCTTTACATCTCTAAACTTAAGGCAAGTTTAAATCAAGATGATATTTTGAATTAATGCCCTGTTTCAAGTGTTCCTTTACATCTCTAAACTTAAGGCAAGTTTAGATCAAGATGATAGTTTGAACTAATGCCCTGTTTCAAGTGTTCCTTTACATCTCTAAACTTAAGGCAAGTTTAGATCAAGATGATATTTTGAATGAATGCCCTGTTTCAAGTGTTCCTTTACATCTCTAAACTTCTCGAGAGAGTTATTTTGTTGCAGCTTCTGGAATATCTTGATGATAATCTACTTGCTGAAGTCCAATCAGCCTACCGTAAACATTTCAGCACTGAAACTGCCTTACTATGAGTTCACAATGACATCCTTTGTTCGCTTGACAAACAGAAAGAAGTATTGCTCCTCATGTTGGATTTTTCTTCAGCATTTGTGATTTCTCATTCAAAATTGATACAACATTTAACTTCTCGCTTTGGTATTACCGGTGATGCACCAAACTGGCTCTCAACCTATTTGTCTAACAGGTCTCAGTCAGTTATAATAAATGGATATCTCCACACTATGCATAATACATTGTGGGGTTCCACAGGGCTCAGTAATTGGCCCACTTTTATTCCTTTTATACACTACCTCGCTTTTTGACATCATCACATCACATCGTATGCGATGCATGTTTTATGCTGATAATGTTCAGTTCATATACACTTCTTTTTCACCAGCTGTCCGTTTCGCAGCCACTGTATGTCTAATGTCAAATCTTGGTCAGTATCGAATCAATTGAAACTCAACGACTCCAAATCGGAGCTTATAAATTTTTGTCTCCTGTTTTTCCAAAATAAATCGTATAACTAGCATAAATATCGGTGACTCGGTGATAAACTTATCCACCGAAGTCCGAAGTTTGGGTGTTAGGTTCGATTCGTCTCTTTTCATGAAAAGCCATGTGAAATCTATATGTTCCTTAGCAATCTTGGGCATTAGAAAAATCGGCAGCATCCATAAATATCTGGACGGTAGATCTGCTGCAACACTGGTCCATGCATTTGTAATGTCAAGGCTGGATTATTGCAGTAGTCTACTTTACAGACTTCCTAAATTTTTAAATTGCAACATATCCCACTGCATGACTTGTCTCACGCTCCAAGCCATATTGCCACATTTCGCCGGTTCTTCATAACTTCCATTGGCTGACCATCATCAAAGAATTGTTTTCAATATCCTACTACTACATAAAGTACAAGTTGATTTATAGTCTTTCTCCATCGTATTTATCAGAGATCATCTCTACTCATGTACCGACACGGAAACTTAGATCATCTTCAGAGCTTAATCTTGAATTTCCGAAGGTGAGGATGAGTAATGGTTCTCGCTCTTTTTCTACTTCTCCCCCAAAATTATGGAATGGTCTTCCTCAACATAGCAAATCAGCTGATTCTATTGAGTCTTTCAAAACTCTTCTTGAAACCTTTATTTTTAACAACACTGAATTCACATGATTTGTCTTCTCATCTAGAAAGGCTTTAGAGCTGAAGAATGTGTTATCGTTTATCGGGTGTCCAAGGCTGGGTCCCTCTTGTTCCTTACTTGAGACAACAGCGTTATCTTTTGTAGTGTAATCTACCAGAGCCCACCTTACTGCCTAACAGAGCGCCTGCGTGCACCTGGGTGGAGCCGTTATTTACTGCTTGTTTTTTTGCTGTAAAGCACATTAAGGCTTTTTGTGAAATGCACTTTAAAAAACTAATTTATTATTATTATTTAAACAAATTTTGGCACCCCTGATTTTCACCTTGTATCCTAAAAAACATTATAAAAATAGGATGTTTTAACAAGGCTGTCTTAAAAAAAAAAAAATTGTTTCCTGTCAACAAAATATTTAGTACTGTAGGAAGGGAGACACACCCACACATGCAAATGCCCATTTCAGGCTTCTTGTTATATTTAATATTAATAAGCCCAAAAAATGTATTCACTTTTTATGTTGATGCTTATGAAGTGATACTAGGCCTATGTACTACTAGATTCCATAGAAACCAATAACAGTACTATAGTTAGAAATTTTCCCATAAAGAAGCTCCCACGGTACAGTATGCATGGGACGGGAAGATACAAGATCTGATTCTTTTTACACTACCATCAAAATATATGTGCACCACTGCGAAAACTGAAGTAGGTAAGATTATAAAATAGCATTGAGACAAAAGTCCGATTCTTTGTACACCGCCATCAGAATATTAGGTAAGATGATAAAATAGAATTGACTGCATTTGTGATTTTGAAATTTTTCAAGTACTTGGTAGTGTGGAAAGTTAGCATTTCCAGAAAATTCTGGGAATACTGTAAGTCTAGGTTACTATTGCGTTATTGAGCCAATTGAAAGGTACACAACTCATCAATACTAATATACAAATACTAATATTATAATTTGAAAATAGTGTTCCTAGCTAGCTAGCTAGTAGGCACAAGTGACATCGAGATTAGTTATGTGTAAGGGAATAAAAATACTGTTCAGAAAATTGATACCGAAATCTTTATGATCATTTGTTATTAGTTACAAAAATACAGAGTGACCTGCTGCACCAAAGTACTTTGGTTATTTTTGTGCAAACTTTTTCACTACAGTAAGGCAAGACTTTTTTTATTCCTTGTTTCGCGTACTTATTTATTTAAGATCATCAGAGGAGGGCAGAATAAAAATAAAAATAAAATTTTTGTTTTCTTATTTAGCAAATAGTTTTGCCAAAAACATCCAGACGGAGGAGAAAATAAAAATAAAATTTTATTGGTGAATGTAAAATAGGATGGTTAAATGCTTTAAATTTATATAATTAGGAAGAAATACATATCTTAGAGCAAATGTTGCATTAGCTCAAAAGATAACATTATGCTCTGGACAGGTTTTAAAAAGAAAACAAAAGTCTATGACTAGATGGTTGTCAAGATATGTGAACCCAACTTTTGAACTTGTTGCATATGAGGAGGCATGACACTGAAGTGTGATTTCTAGAGATTCATTCACTCATGTGCTTATACTTGTTGATTTAAATAAAGAAAAACCTTTGTTTGCTATTTGTTGCACTTCAAATGCTAGAATGTCCAGCCTAAACATGTAATAATATACAATTTTAACCAAATAAACACCAAAAATCGGGTTTTTGCCCCAAAAAATCATGAAAGTATACCAAATGGTCATATGGCAAGTAGCATTCGATAGGAAATTGGCTTTTAGATGAGATGCAACATGTCTATGTTTGCGAACTTTCCCTTTGGATAAAACAGATATTAATGTTTTGCTATTTAAAAAAAAATATTTTCGCTATTTTTGAGTTATAAGTTAAAATTTATTATTCTCAGCAAGTATGGTTTCAGTATTTCTCTTTTGTTATCATGTCATGATCATATAATTGGTCAAATTCTGATGAGAATGGTTGAAATATCTGTTTATTTAATTTGTAAAAAGAAAATTTTAAACAAAAAAATATTATTTAAACAAAAAAATATAAAATTTTGACAAAAAATTACAAAATGTTGTTTTCCCCCACAAAATTTCTCTAAAATATAAGCTACAATAGTACCAATGGATAGACAATATTAAGCTTTCATATGAATGCAACATTTTTTTATTTTATATATTACCTTTTTTATATCCAAGATTATGATACAGTAAAATTGACCTGAAATGAGCTTTATTGACCTCTGACTCATTAATCCAGCAGAGGGCTTTTCAAAAATGTGACTGGCTCTGGGAAAACCCGCTGTTGCAATTTCTGCTTTCCCACAAGCACCCAGAATGTTTGAGAATCGAAATTTTGAACATTTTCTGTTTTTTGAATTCTATAAAAAAAAGTTTGAAGGACATTTCTGCAAAATATCTGTCACTAAAACTAACCTTAAAGAATTTCAAAATTATTTTTGAAATATTTTTGAATCGTACTAAACTAAAGCGCCAAGGCAGTACTTTTGCATGGGAGGAATTTAAAAGAGTCCGTAACAATGTCAAACAGTTGTGCCAGAAATCTTATTATGATTATGTGAACCGTTTGTTTACAGGGGATAAAACGCGAAAAGCTTTTTGGTGTTTTGCTCGTGAACGTAAACGTTCACCGGCACCCTCTTCGTTTGACATTAATGGGACTGCTAGTTCTTCCCCTTCAGTTATTGCAAATAGTTTCAATGATTACTTTGTTTCAATATTTAATCCTTTGAAAGCCTCTCCCACGGATCCTCCAACGTGTTCCATTCCAATACCTGAACTTTCCTCTATAAATTTTGATATTGTTGATTTAACTTTAATGAAAGGTAAATTACCATCTTCCTGGAAGATTTCCCATGTAACTCCAATTTATAAATCTGGAAAAAAAACCTCAATTTTAAATTACCGACCGGTATCTCTGACACCGATATGTTGTAAAATTCTTGAGAAATTTATCCATTCTGCTATATTTGAACATGTTAAGTCAAATTGTCTTGTCACAGATGTTCAACATGGATTTTACCCTTCCCGCTCGTGTGTTACACAGCTAACTAACCTCCTCCATAATTGGGCATCGTCACTGGACAAACCACGTCCTCCTAGAATTGAAGTTATTTTTTTGGATTACTCTAAAGCTTTTGATAAATTGCCCCATAACATTTTACTCCACAAACTTGTTACACAGTTTAACATTAGAGGGAAAATATGGAAATGGATCCAGTCCTTCCTATCTGATCGCGTCCAGATGGTTGTATTTCAGGGGTCTACTAGTAGCCCATGTACTGTGACCTCTGGGATCCCTCAGGGTAGTGTACTGGGCCCTATGTTGTTTAACTTGTTCATTAATGACCTTGCTTCCTCTTTATCATCTTGTGCCTTATTTGCTGACGACACCATCATTTATAGAGATGTCCATAGCGTTGATGATGAATATTTAGTCCAAAGTGATTTAAATGCACTCTCCGCGTGGTGTGCCTCGAATGAAATGGAATTAAATTCAAATAAAACTACTGTAGTATTCTTCACATTACTAGATCTAAAAAGGAGTACCGTCCGATTTACTACTTGAATGGCTCCCCAATTCAATCTGTCCTAAATCACTCCCACTTGGGCGTCACTATTAACCATACCTTAACTTGGGATGACCATGTAAAAAATATTACAGCAAGGGCAAATAGGATGATTGGTTATATTGCAAGTATTGCCGGAGGTACTTCATCAGCGGCTATATTTGCATTATATCAAGCTCTTATTATTCCTATACTTGAATATGGCATTCCCGCTTGGCTTTCCAAAACTTTAAAGTTGACTGATAGAATCGAATCTGTACAGCGTAGAGCCACACGTCTAGCATTAAAGCAGAGACGTGGGGACATGGATTATGTTCTTAGATTAGAACAACTGAACTGGCCTCGTTTATCGAGTAGAAGAACTTATCTTTTAATATCATTTGTATGTAAAACACTGATAGGTTCCATTGACTGTAAAAGCATTCGTGAAATTTTATATATTACCTTTTTTATATCCAAGATTATGATACAGTAAAATTGACCTGAAATGAGCTTTATTGACCTCTGACTCATTAATCCAGCAGAGGGCTTTTCAAAAATGTGACTGGCTCTGGGAAAACCCGCTGTTGCAATTTCTGCTTTCCCACAAGCACCCAGAATGTTTGAGAATCGAAATTTTGAACATTTTCTGTTTTTTGAATTCTATAAAAAAAAGTTTGAAGGACATTTCTGCAAAATATCTGTCACTAAAACTAACTTTAAAGAATTTCAAAATTATTTTTGAAATATTTTTGAATCGTAATAAACTATTGATTTTAAAATCTTTTGAAGCTGTTTTCTCAAAGGTATGCAATGAATTAAGTATTCATAACTTCGCTAATACTCAACTAATTTTCATAAAATGGACACTGTTTTAAAGAAGAATAAATACAGAATCGAAAAACACCAAAACACTTAATATTGAATTTTTCCTACAAACGGCAGTGGTTTTGCCAGAGCTAGTCCTAAACATGTCGTCATTTTCTGAATGTAAATGACTCCTGGCTTCCGGACTGTAATTGTTTTCCTATTACTTGTATACTAAACTACTATATTTTTATGCCCATTTTGTTACTAGGCCCAAGCTAGTAAAGAAGATAACCTTCGCCGGCATGGTTCCACAATGTCAATCAACTCTGGAAGTCTAATTTCAACATCTTCATTTAAAGTAAGTGCTTGTAAAAATTCCTTATTAAGGATATACTGTCCCTTGCAAAAAACAAAAAAAAAATCATAAAAATAATTTTTGATATTTACTTGCCCATTTTGAAGTAACATAAAAATTGTCAACTTGAACATAGAAATTAGTGTATTTAAAAAATGCTTAGCCATAAAAACCATCATTTTACAACGAAAAAATGATAGAAACACTTTCAGTCAATTATAATTATCCAGTTAAAAAATCAGGGAACATATTTTTTAAATTTAATAATTTATATGCTTTAGTTTATAATTTGTGTGTTACTGCAAAATGAGGAAGTTAATTTAAAATTTTTTTTTGTTATTTTGGTCATTTTCAAGGGACAGTAAATCTTAAAATGTAAGCTGCTATGAGTTTGTTTTGTTTAAAGTACCATTTTATCATTCTTCATGAAAGTAACATGCATACAAGTAACTTTGCCAGGACTGATTGCTTTTGTAATTATTTTATTATTTTTTATTTTTTTTAAATTTTATTTTTTGAAATTTTTAAAATTTTTCTTTTTATTTAATATTTTAAATTATGTCTTATGTGATCTTTAGGATTATTTGCTGACTGAAGACTTATTTTAAATTCAATTTCTGTTTACAAACGATTATTTTAAGGGTTGATATTTAATGTATATATTGTGTCTTTTTGCTTTCAATTCGATTCAGTGTATGCATGTATTTTACACAGAGTTTGTAGTTGAATTGACAATTTAATAATTAAATATAAACAATCTATTTGTGCAAATCTAGTAGAATTGTTCTTATTTCTCCTCAAAAGTACCACTTAAAACTTTCGACTACTGTAGTGTACAGTCATTCAATATTGTAAATAAATCATTGCTTGCATAACAGGAGTGTTATGTGCTGTATGTAATTCAGTTTTATATGTAATTGCAATGGAAAGTGTACATTTATTCTTTAAAAAATATAATTGAAAACAAATTCATATAATCTACCATAATTTTGATGAAACCTTTTACAATTAAAATGATTTGTCAAATAGAAAGGGAGGAATTTGCGAGAGAAATTGGCAGAGATGGAGACATTTCGTGACATACTGTGTCGACAGGTAGATACGTTGCAAGGATATTTTGACAGCTGTGCAGAAGCTTCTGCTGCAACTGTGAATGAAGATATTTCAAAAAAGTGGTTGGAGGATCCTTGTAAGTTTCATTTTTAATAATTCTTATTTATTTTCTTAGTTTCTCTTGTTTTAGTAGCAGAGGTAGAATCTGAAACGTTGGCAGGTACAGTATACAATTAGTTTTTATTTCTGGTTAAAACAAAGATTTTAGGGGATCAACTAAGAAATATGAAAACAGGGATATTTGAGGTCAAAGGTTAGGTGTCTACTTGTACTCTGAAAAATCATGGAAAAATATAGTTTCATTTATTTATTTATTTATTATATATAAAATATATTACAAAACAATTGCAAAGAGCTAAATATGCTATATAATAATAATAATAATAATAGTGTAGTTTTATGTAGCGCACATATCCATTTAATGTAAGATGCTCAGGGCGCTTTATATGTGGACTAGGAACTCGATCAATGACTTTCTTCGCCCCTAAGGGTCCCTTCGTAATTGTGCTACCCAGTTACACGGTACCAGCAACTCTCATTGTCCACCACAGGGGCTGTCTGTTCCAGTACACCGGGGTATCCCCCTACTTGTCTCGAAGGATATACTGGGTTCTTTATAGTGCACACGAGCCATTATATACACTGTATACATGACATACATGACATACATTGTATACATGACATAGCCTCTGCCATGTAATGGCAGAGGCTATGTCATTTATTTATTTAACCATATGTGGCAAAGACAAGCCAAACCAGTCACTCGTCGCAAATTGTGTTTCAGAGAAAATAGCAAAAACATGCTAGAATGTAAAATTTTTAAAAATCTATTTTATTTCACTAAACTAAGGTTCATGTATCTATACATCATGCTGTGCTGTTATTTTTCCCAATTTCAATGTTAAAACAACACTTTTTAATTATTTTATAATAGTTTCTGCATGAGAAATGCCTGAAATCATAAACTTTGAAGGCTGATTTCTCATATATTCTTTAATCAGCTCTATGCTTAAATGCTTGTAACTTCATAAGGAAATGTCAGATTTGAATGATTTTTTTACCATTTTATAGCTCTTATTTTACTCTTTAACCCTGTATTAATAATTCAAAATCGATTTTTGCGACGAGTGACTGGTTTGGCTTGTCTTTGCCACATATTTTGAGAGGGTGACTTATCCAGGATAAGCTGATTTTAAGGGGCCCTCAACAATACAAACAAGATTTACAGTTATGATGTTAGGCAATTATAGTCAAGTTTTGAGGACCCTACAGAAAATTGAGGCTGAAGGAGCCATTATTTCCTGAAAAAAATTGCCTGAAGCCTGCAAATATGGTTGAAACTCCATTATAGTAACTAGAAAATGATTATCTTAAACTGTTTTATCTGAATTTGATTATAGTGGATGAAGATATCTTAGATGATGAAGAACTATTGGATAATGACAGTGACACTGGCAAAACCACAATGAATGAACAACATAATATTAATGGTCCTTCAAAAGGTTTGTGTACTCAATATGGTATATTTTGCTATACCCTTTCCTTATTAAATGCCACAGCAAAGCAACTACATTATCTTTAGATAAATTTCAAATCAAGTATATTTTTCATATTACAAATTTAGGTGCAAATTTAGAGGAGGAGGGGGAAGGTTGAGGTGGTTGGGGCTTGGCTACAGTATATAGACTTTTTTAACCTTCCTGCCACCTAAATTTATGAACATGTTTTTTTGGTTGGGAAATATAATAGCCTAATAAGTTGGCCTGAAAATATTTGTTTGTTACCAGCCAAGTCATGATGAGACTACAGTATACTCCTATGGTTTGACTGAGGTAGGATTTTATTCAAACCATCATTATATTTTTGTATCCCCTAATGAAAAAATCCTGAATCTGCCTCTGAAATGCCATGGCAAGCAATTTTATGAAATTTTATGTTTCTTCTTTATATAGGTCCGGCGGAAGCATTTAGTGATTTGTTAGGCAGAGGAGATGAACATTGTTTATAGAACACATAGATGCTTAGAAATAGCACTAATAATTTATAAGACATTTTGTTAGCTCAATATTTGGACTGTGATTAGCATTTCTTCGGGACTTGAATAGGAGCAAAACATGGATTCCAGATTTTTGTGACTATTAAATGTCTTCCTTAAGGCGCAATCGACAAATTATTCAAAATGACAAAGACGTGTTCAGCTAGACAATGCTATCCCAAACGCGTCTGGCAAATCAATCGTCCTAATTAAAACACTTTATGAATATTCATTAGCTAAGCACAAACGTCCACGATACGTGTCCAAACGGTTTGAAACGTCCGGACACGTCTGAACGGTTTGCGGAGGTTTTTGATCTTGTTTACATCCGTGTAGACTACCGTTCGGATGCATTTTTTTTAATGTTCCTGTTGTCTGCTATTGTTTAATCCTTTTTCGGCTATCGTTCAGATATGCGGATCCCTTCAAACTTGAACTAAGTTGGCAGGTAGACGCATACAAAAAATATGATTGTTCTTTCAACCGGCGACTTCAACCAGGCTCTAGGCCTATTCCACAGGGCGCCCCTACAACTACGAGTCCGTACCTAGCTAGGCTAGTCTACTTCACCAGACATGGACTAAAAGTAAAACCATGACAATAATTATGCATAGTATTGTAGACTGTAGCCCTAGATTACTGTATTAACTAGTATTTAGCCACGAAATAATACCCATTTTCCTAAACAGTTGTAAACTGTAATGTCTGAATATGCTCACACTGTACTTTTCCCACAGCTGGCTCCTTTGTACGCTGCTGTGGAATGTTAAAAGTATGTCAGCCAATACTAAAAATAGGCTTAGGTCATTTGGTGTGTACGATGTGTATTTAGCCATGGTACTACTGTATAAATAAAATATAATCATCAAAGATGATAGAAATGAATGTTTTTTTCATTGCTTTTTATTGCTTGTAATGTTTGGAAATTATTCGCAGCTGTAATTACACATTTATTGAAAAAATAAATGTTTAAAACAAATTCGATAATAACAACCTTGAAACCATTGTGTAAGTAGGCCTATCGTCTGTTAAAACATTCAAAATAAATACTTAGGCCTGGTTCTGTAGTAATGCATATAGTAGTATAGGCATATAGTGGTTGTATTTTTTTAACAGTATAATAACTATCATCACTTTATTCAGTTTTCATTTTGTTTTGTGTAGCCTATGATATATTGTCATTCTCTGAAGAAATCTACAGCACCACGTAGACCTATTCACGTTTATTCACAGTTAAATTGTAAATTTAATATTGACAGATCCAAATAATCCGATTGTCCTTAAAGAAATATAAAATAAAAGTTAATTATACATAGAAAAAATGTCAACTAAAAATTCGATCTGTAATTAACCAGGACCCAAAAGACTAAGAAACCAACCCCAGTGCCACAACAGAGAAAAATATTCATTCTAGGCTTTGCAGACAATTCGGAGAGATTAGTGATTATCAATTAAAATATCTAAATCTACTGTACTGTTAAATACTGACATGACAATATATTCAAATTAATGGCCCTTCTCTTTTTGATCTGTAATTAGTGATTATCAATTAAAATATCTAAATCTACTCTACTGTTAAATACTGATATGACAATACATTTAAATTAATGGCCCTTCTCTTTTTTATCTTCACTTCACGCAATTTCCACAGAAATAAGTTTAATTATGAGACTGAAGTTCTTATCTACTCTACTACATGTTTGTAAACATAGCTTGGTTTTTGACCAGAGGTTTTACCATGTGGTCGATCAAGTCTGTTGTACGACAGTGGAAAAATTTGGGCACACTGTTTGATTTGACCAATCAAATCCATTGTTTTAAAAGCAATCAACCGTGAACACTGTGGTTTCGTTTAACATTACGTCATAAATGTTGATCGATATTTCTGTATGTGAGCTCGTTAAAACTTTTAAAAAATCTAAAAAACTAATAAAATGATTAATTATTATAGAAGGTTGGACTACTCTGCTGCTGCTACACTCCTTGTACTAATACTATTCATAAGTCAATATTGACGTCATCACTGCAACTCCCAAATGTTATTTGTCTATCCCCCACAGTCCACTAATTTTTCAATTTGTGGACGCTTGGCTTGATTTTTTTTAGGTTCGTGTGCAAAAAAAAAATTCCTCATTTTTCGCGGAGACATCGTGCACCTCGATGAAAATTGAATTTAAATTGAAAATTACTTTCATAAAACAAGTTTAATTAGGACCTGAAGAAAGTTGCATCAAATTCAATATTAAGTATGAACAATTAAGGAGTTAATTTATTTCATTTCATCAGACCAAGAGGGAATCATCGCCACTAACAGGCTGGTAAAATTTAAATACAGTATATCAAATATATAGACGAAAGAGTACAAAAATCTCACCTATTCAAATGATTAATAATAATAATAGAACGAAATATAGACAAACTATTGTGAAAAATGTCAATATTAGAGGTTAAAATAAGAGAATTATATTCAAGAGAAAGTCTAGAAATAAAACTACGTTTACAGACATCAACTCTAGGACCTGGCTACATTGTCCCTCGACCACTAAAAAAAAAGTGACCCATAATTCTTTATCCAGGAAAAGGTCCGATATTAGCATATTGCACATTTTTGTGAACTGTTCTTTTTGGTCCGCGCGAAGCACTGACCCAAAGCCTCACTCTTGTTCTTGTAACCAAAACTTTAAAAACTTAATAGCATCCAGCGTTGCCTGTTTTGAACGGATGTGCATGAAACTTTGTACACATAAACTAGAGGTGATTTCCAACAAACGTTCATCGCCCTTTTTTAAAGTTTGTCCCAAGGGTTTGCCTACAAAACAAAACGGGTTTCAAACTTTAAAAGCATCCAGCGTCACCAGTTTTGAACGGACGTGCAGGAAATTTTGAACACATAAACTAGAGGTGATTTCCAACAAACGTTCATCGCCCTTTTTTAAGTTGGACCCCAGGGTTCCCCCTACACCTACAAAACAAAACATGGGTTTCAAACTTTAAAAGCGTCCGGCATCGCCAGTTTTAACCGGATGTGCATGAAATTTTTTACACATAAGCTAGAGGTGATTTCCAACAAACGTTCATTGCCCTTCTTTAAAGTTGGATCCCAGGGTTCCCCCTACACATACAAAACAAACAGGGGTTTCAGTAAGCACTGTACATTACTGCCATTTACCACTACCGTAATAGTGCACATTGCATAAATGGCGTGGGGTTAAGGATGTGTTCGTGAGTTTGAATTGCGTATTTAGCAAGTTTGAATCGTGTATTCATTTTTTTTTTCATTTAGTCAAAGAGTTCTCATTCATGTTCATTAAAAAAGAAGTTAACACCGAGGCACGATTCGAACTCGCGAACTTCGGTTAAGGATGTGTTCTAAAGAACTTAAGGTGGTGAGTTTGAAACGTGTCTTAGTATTCAAATTTTATTTTAATTTTTTTTCAATTTTAAGTATTTTTATTTTGTACAAATTATAATTCTAAATATTGTTTTTTTTTTTCTTGTACAAATGAACATTCTAAGTATTTAAAAATTACTGTACATTATTGCCATTTCCACTCTAATATGAATGAATGGCACGGACAGTTAAGGTTCAAAGCACGTCTTGGTATTCAATTTTTTTCCCCAATTTATTTATATTTTTTTATTTTGTCAAAATGATCATTCTAAATAATGTTCTTTTTTGTACAGTAGACATTGTAATTATTTAAAAATTTCTATTTTATTAGCTCTTCCAAAAAATCCAATATAATTACTTGCACCTGTACCGTATTTAAGCATGAAGGAATGCGCGGACTTGGTGAGCGGTTGCTCTTCTTTATTACGAAAGACGGTGACTACTCCAGCATGGTCTGGAAGGACGACTGATATTCATGATATAATGTGATGCTTTATCAGTGAAGTCTCATTACAAGGCTTTGGGAGTGTTTTTTTAGTCATGGTCGACATGACGAAAACTATTCGTCACATGATTTTTGTGTTAACAGGCTGCCATATGCCATAAGCGGGGCAGTGTGAGACCAAAATTTGTGCAAGTGTCACAGTGGTTCAACTCCGCCTGAATAAATTAATTAGAAAAAAGAAAATTGTTAATGTAATTAATATATTAGAAGTGTACACAAAAGTTGTACATATTCCTATCATTTGTTACTCTATGGTAATAAATTTTATCAAAAGCTTGATTTTTTTAATTGTTTATATGTATTTAATTGTCCAAGTAAATGTCTTCGGCATGTTTTAGTCATTGTTATAATTGAAAAGATAAGTGAGTTTTTAAAATATTAAACAGAAATTTGAATTCTATGGTTGGAAAATGTCTTCAGTACTGTAGTTCTATATAGTAGCAATTCCAAATATTTACACCATTCATTTTGTTAAAAGAAGAACTTTTTTTTCAAAAATAATCTTAAAAAGACAAAATATTGAATCAATTTAACAGAAAGATATTCTTTTTTCCTTTTCAATTTTATTTTTAAATTTAGTAAGTTTTAAGTAAAGTAGTTTTTGATACAGTAGTTTTTTTATTTATGTATATAATTGTTTTTCTTTAACTCATTAGTTTTGTTTTTAGGTCGATTTCTTTTTTTATTCTGCTTTTCTTTTTAATTTTTTTAATACTTGAGATACACTTGTGATACCAGTGCTGCGTCATTGAAAGTTTAATCACGCAAAAGATAGAAATAATTAAATAAATAAAAAGAAGCCCATTTTGAAAAATTTAACACATTCTCATTCATTCAAAATACCTCAATTGACCACCTGTAACTCATCATCTGTCAGTGACTTCTCAGTTATTTCAGCGACTGCTATTCAAAACTTTGATCCCACTTAAATCTATTAACCGATTCACACGTGAAGTTAAATTTAACAAAAAGTAACAAATTGTAACCGAGCGATCTCCCGAGTTATTCCTACCGAGATAAAAAGCATTCACACGCGTCTGTAAGGTAATGCCAAGGTCGTGTAAAAGTCTTCATTTTTTCCCCTACTGCGATATAGGTCTAGCCTAGGCCTAGTTGAGAACCCCTGTCACAGATGGACTGTTGAACTCACCATCACAGTAAACATTCGAAACAATCAATGCCCTTAACAACTGCTCCTACTACTACTACTAAACTAGGCATAGCTTCCAACGTTTCTGTCGACTCTTGATAATACTAGTAATATTACTAACACCATCCCGACGTTCATTTTAGTATATAGTATCTTCTTCTACCATTACTAATTAACATCAATAACAAGGGTAATTCATTCATCATTGAGAAAAACTAGGCCTATCTATTTCTAGTGGATCAGAACCGTCTGCAGAAGGAAGAAACTTCAAGAACCCCATGAAACCATAGAGGTGTTGAAATCCCTGCGCATGCGCAGATCCATCCATGCTACATCTCGGAAGCTTTACCAGCCTCAGCGAGGCTGGTAAAGATTACCGAGACATTCCGAGATTTTACAAGGATATTACACGGAGGTACTTTCACACGTGCCGTAAAATGTTACTTTTGTTTACATTTTGTTACATTTGGTAAGTTTTTTTGTACGTGTGAATCGGGTATATGACACTTTCTAAACATTTCATGTTTTCTTCTAGATAAATTTCACAGCAAGCCAAATACAATGGGAATAGATTTTCGAGGTGAGGCATTCACTTTCAAGGCAACTACTGGTGGTATTCTAGCCACATTGTCTCATTGTATTGATCTAATGCGACAACGGGAAGAACAGTGGCAGAAACGATTAGAAAAGGTTAGTTATTGCCATAGAAATCAAATATTTGAAAAATAATGTGTAATTAACAATAAATTAACTGTTTATTTATCTAAAACTTAGGAACAAGATAGAAGAAAACGTGCTGTTGAAGCATACAAGACAATGTTAGATAAAATGAAGAAAGTAAACCTCAAGGGTGGACCAGATTTTGAGGTGAGTACTTCATTTCATTTAATTTTTTTAGCATAAAATCAATCAGAAGGCAATATAGAAGTGTTGAAAATTATCTTTTGAGTATAAGAGATGAATTAATTTATTATTATTTACTTATTTATTAAGTATTTAATACATAAACTCACCTGTGTTAGGAGAAAATGTGCAGTGCTGTGGAACAAGCTATCAAGTCAACAAAGATTAGTAAAGTAGGTGACCCATCAGGTATTGTAGGTGAGATGCTGGAAGCTTATGGAGATGTGGGTGTTAACATTGTCACAGATTTGGCAAATGCTTTTGTAAAAGAAGAAGCAATACCAGCAGAATGGGAAGCAACTGCTATAAGGGGAAAGGTGATGCAATGGAGGGGGACAATTATAGAGGGCTGAAGCTACTGGACATGGTGATGAAAGTAGTAGAAAGTGTAATAGATGGCCTTGTGTATGAAAGAATATACATTGAAGACATACAGTTTGAGTTTATGCCAGTACGAGGTACCAGGGATACTATATTTCTGGTGAGACAGCTGCAGGAAAAATTTCTGAGCTAAGAAAAAATTTCTGGATTCTGGCATTCATCGAGGGCATGACATTGTTATGGCATTTTGTGTATTTTTGTAGGGAGGTATTTATCAATAGCAGATTACATCATGCTGTAAAATATGTCGGCCTTTTGTTAAATATTAAGTTCGTCTAGAACTTCTTCTCATGATTTGTTTTGAGCCCATCTGCCCAGATGAATTAATTTAGACTCTGGTCTGATGGATTTAGCTACTATAGCGTTATTAAACTTCAGATATTTAGGAGTTATATTTATCACATTGTTTTCACTGCATCCATTTGGTGCAGTGATTGAAGGGCTTTGATAAAAGTCATTCAAGTTAGTGATAATGATGTCCAAAATGTTGCATCCTCTTGTGGGTACTTTGGTGGTAAGATGGTTGTGCCATGTTAGCCTGAAAGAAAGACTGGGAAAAATGGATCAAATATCTCATCCAAAAGACAGTACGCAACGTTGGGAATTGAACTGGGAACCAAGCGATCTACATGGTTCAGCGCACACACAGTGGCTACCACCAGTTCAGCCGACTAAGCTAACTGTTCTCAGCTGTTAATAAATTAAAGTATTTTTGTAGTAAAATCTCTATAAATCATTCATACCTTAATTAAGCTTGCACTTCAGCAGTGATGTAACAAAGAGGCCTGAGGCCCTAGCTAAGTCTTCTTTGGGCCTTTCTACCCTGCTTCCATGCAAGGTGCCAGCATAGTATACAGATGATGTTTTAAGGCATATTTAATGTTAATTAGGGGGCCACTTGGCTGTTTTAGGGACCCAAATTCCAGCAAAAAACACCTCAAGCACTTTGAGACAGTTCTGGTATAAAGCGTTACATAAATCTAACTACATTACAACTACTGTAGTCCAAGTATCGAAATGCGCGCCATTGTGTCGGGATTCAATATTAATTATGTCATCAGGAATGATGATGATGATGACATAATTAATGTCCTGATGATGACATAATTAAAGTTGAAATATTGAATCCCGACACGATGGGCGTGCATTTCGATACTTGGAGTATGTTTTATACTATCTTACCTGAGATTAATCAGAGGACATTTCGGTTTAGAACTACATAACTACAAGGTCCTGGCTTTAGCAAATGAGAGCTATTATGCCAGCATATTGACTCTGACGGCCTGCCTCCAGGATCTCATGTGTGATGAAAACCAACACTATAACAGTGATTGAGGCCAGTGAATGTACACACGACTTACAATTAAAAGTACTTGTTCTACCCAGCTGGGATTCGAGATCACAATCAAAAGTATTTAGGATATTCAGATAATTTAATTTTTGTATTAGCCAGTACAGTCATGAGCATTGTAATTTGCAGTTTATTTTGGATAATAAAGGAATATGTATCTGTATCTGTAATAAAACCATTGGTACAGTACAGTATATCTAGGACGATGCACACATCCACAAAAAAAGTTTCTATCCCCCTTCCCAATTGCCCCTCCCCAATTGAATATTTAAAGCAAAACAAATCACACTCAGCTAGTTAAATATTCGTCTCATATTGCTTTTTTCTGTGAGCTAGCAGCCTCTCTCACATCAGTACATCGTACTAGCTTGGAGTCACTTGGAGCTGATAGAACACATGATTTTGGCAGAAAACTTTTCACGTTACGCTATGATTGAACATTACAATAACAACACTCATTATTTACACAAGTCTTTATTCAGAAATACAAATATGCCATAGGTATATTTCTATAATTAATTACTATACTAGAACGAACCACCGACTCGGCAAACCGACTGGACATCACATACAAAAGCCTTGTTGTTTCTTTATTGTTTGAGAGCATGCAGTTGGATAGCAGCAGGGCAATATTACATATAAACGTATCATGAAAATATTTATTGAAACAACCATCGATTGAATGCTATAGAAAATGTAGAAATATACAGTAGTAATACTAGCATCATTTTGTTGACGGTTATCCAAGGCAAGCTAACGAGGATAGGTTTATAAATTGTGCTTGCCTAGCTAGTACAAGAGAGAGACAGCTGGCAGGCTGCAGGTCGGCTAGTGTTCGCCGCCATTCGTGATGTAAGTAAGAATAGGTAGATTAAACTGGTGTAAAATAGGCCACATCCTGAATTTCTGGATCCAAATTTTTGACTTTCCTCATCGGAATATATGGTATATTATGTGACAAATTTAACTGATAATTTTGATTAAAGTTTACATACTTTTTTGTGCCGGTCGGATTTTAAAAATTTGCTCTCAGTCCCGGTTACCAAATGCTACTGCCTGCCGGTGCCGACCATCTTAGCTACAACACTAGAGCCCACACTTAACCTTTTCCCCCTTCCCTATCATGCCCCATTTCAAGACTTGGATAAAATTAAATATGCATAAGATTAAATATGTCAAGTAAATACATGAATGTCAAATATATTTATTGTCTTTACCGGTATGTTGTTATGCAAATTTTTAATGATAGCAGTCGTTAATTTTTAGTTCTATTTAATCCTGGCAGGAAGGACCTTACAGTAAACTGAAAGAAGAGGAATTCTTTGATGCCATTGAGTCTGCTCTTGATTTAAATGATCAAATGGAAGATGAAAAGGTAATACTCTCTGTTTAAGTATGTAATGACAGGGGTGGATTTAGGCAAAAGGAAATAGAAAAAAGAAAAGAAATAAAGGAAAAGAAAAAATTTATCACCCAAAGTGTCTCTAAGTTTATTTTCGGGCGTCTAGAACACCAAATTTTAGTTGGGACATGCCCCCTCATCTCTAGGGTAGTGTTATCTCGATCAGCCCCACTTTCGAACATCTGTGGATCCGCCCCTGACTGGAGAGAAAATAGAGGATGCAATACGACTGATAGGGAAGAAAAGAATGAAGAAGTTGATGAAGTGAAATAAATCAATGATTTGAAATATCTGGTTGATTTCAAGGAAATTTGATTTCAAATGACTGGTCCAATTGGCATTGCGTCATTTAGTGCTTAGATAGAGTGGAGTCGGATTCGGAGTGCCTGGCTTTTTAAATAAGATTTAATTAATGAGAAGAAAGTACAGTAGTTGAGGAGAGAGAAATATGTTGAAGAAATAAAATCAATAAATTATTAGGATTGGAAAAAGGGAATGTACTGTATTACAGAATGTTATAATGTTGTAGTTTGTAAACAATTCTTTTGTTGCTGGTTTATCAGGTTGCAGCAAGAGAGTCACTTCCACTGATGTCAGTTCACGATGATCTTCCCCCACATCCACACAGACTTCTTGATATGGTATGTCATGTCATGATTTCAATCACTTTAGGGCAATTTAAGTTGTTAATTGTTTGTGGTAGTTGGACAAGAATTAACATGCAATTTGACTATACTGTAATAATGAGAAGAATGTATCTGATTTTTACTGGGTTTTTTTTGTATCACACTCAAGTAGATTTACCATGGACATTATATGATATTTTAATGTAAAAGAGACTGTGTGTATATTTTTTAATATGTTTTTAAGTGAAATTTGCTTTTTTGTATGTATTTTACATTTGTTTGAAATATATGAACTTAAAAAAACTGATGGTAGCCATTATGAAATTTAGGGGAAAAAATGATAATGAAATCTTTGTTTTCTCCAGTGTAATGAAAAAGTTGAAGAAAACTTGAAGTATGCATTTGAAAACATAGAGAGTACGTGGGATCTGTTCCATTCTGAGTCGGAGATGAAGGTAGGTGTAGATACTTTTGGTTGTTAATTCATTTTGATTTTTACTTCAATGAAAATTTCATTTAATACAGTACTAATTCAATCTTATTTTTAGGCTAGTATTTCATTCTGATCTTTGGAATAAATCAGCGTGTAAGGTGTTGGACTTCTGATCGTGAGATTGAGGGTTCGAGACCGGCGCTTGTCGCATTGTGTCCATAGGCAAGGCACTTTACTTAATTATTTTTATTTATTCTGCCTTTAACGTGATAACACTTTAAGTGACGCAGCCCTGATTTCACTAGTGGATCACAAGAAACAAGGAAAGAAATAAAAAAACAAAAACAAAAAACAAAAAACAAAAAATGCCCAAGTAGAACAAAATAAAACATAAATATAAATATACAGAAACATGAATAGAAAAGAACCAAGTTAAACAAATTTAATTTGAATTTAAAAGAAGGCAAGAGAACAGAGGGTGGTCAGAGAGACCGAATTTATTTTTCGTTTAGATCAAAGGTCATTTAGTTCCAAGCCTTAGTAGCATGGTATAAGAATGTTCTCTTGCCTTGCATGAGTTTCCGTTTTTGCTCCATCAAGGTGGTGTTACATTTATTTTTAGTACATTGAGAGTGGCTATTTTGATTAAATATGAATTTGAATTTGTTACTTCAATAGCATTGGGCAATTCCTTTTAGGCACTTAAAAGTGAGTAATAATAGGTGTTCCTTCCACCTATCAATTAACCTATTCCATCTTAAATCATTCATTAAATCCTTGATGGGTGTTTTTATGTTGACTGAAAGAATACTTCTTGCTAACCTATTCTGGAGAATTTTGAGCTCATTTAAAAGATTTGTTGTAGTGTTAGACCAAATGCAACTGCAATAATCAAATAAAGGCATTACAAGTGCATTTGATAACATTTTAGTTGTGTTGACAGGCAGGAACATTTGCCTCTCTCCACCCAGGAGTATAAATGGATACCAGGTAGGATGATGTGGCATTGCAAGTATTAGTCTGTTTGGCATTAAATTGTTTGCACGACTAGGAATACTTCCCACGGAGTGAAGGAGGTTGCACTTTGTGCTGGTTTGATCATGGATACGATGACCAAGGGTAATAATAACAACATCTTTGTATCCCTTGGCAAAAGGTGCCATATAGACCTCTATATTACTATTTAGACCATTATTCCAGTCTGATCATTGAACCACTCAATAATTTACTATAAGTGTATGCTTTTGTTGCTAATGATATGAACTGCCACTGTCAGAGGCATTTTCTTTGATGATTCCAAATTTAGTAAAATAGAGCCTCTTATGCAAAAATAGTTTAATAATTGACATTTCAAAAAAACTCGTGTAAGCTGATGACATGTAATTGTACATAGCCTTCATATTTGGTTAATAAATGAAATATTTTGGAGTTTCTAGGAAGGTACAGTATACTAGTTAAAGCAAAGGCTTTGTATGCCAGATATATCAGGTTTAATTTTAATTGGGCCAATACATTTTCTCTCTTATTTTGTAATATGTCCACTTTACATTGATAAGGATATGCAATTGTTAACATTCTACATTGAAGTGACGTTCTTAGACTGCATATACAGTATGCACTCACTGATGTTCTTGTTGTTCTTGATCTTGTTGTTACCAGAGCTTTAACAGCGTCCAGCGTTGCCAGTTTTGAATGGACTTGCAAAAAATTTTGTTCACAAGCTACAGGTTATTTCCAACCAACGTTGTCCTTTTCTAAAAATTCAACCCCACGGTTCCCTCTACACCTATAAAACAAAACAGGGGTTTTTAGCAATGGCTGTACATTACTGCCATTACCACTAATAGGACATGTCGCTTGGATGGCGCGATCATTTGTTCTAAAGGAATAAGGAAACAAAAGGTCGTCCATTCGAATCACATCTTCAATTTTTATTAGTTCCTATGCATGCAATGCAATAGGAACTATTATAATCACTCTTCTTTTTCCTTTGTTTTTTATTGTGTGTAGTATATGTGTGCGTGTTTGTGTAGACATTTATGCAAATGCGCATGCGTCAAAGAAAAGTTTTCCGACATTTTGTTTTACCTCGCGATTCGAAGTTCGATGTGAAGTTTCTGCAGAATTCAGCCAGGGCTCACGCCAACCCGATAGCATGTCGTCATGGATGAAACTATCAAACTATCAATCAACTGCTGTGGCATAGGTATTTTGAAGAAGGCCTAAAATAAAACAAAAAGGTTTTAATACTTGCTGAAATACATCGTTTTTTCATTTAGATCTCCATTTTTCACTAACTC